ATAGAATAGAATAGAATAGAATAGAATAGAATAGAATAGAATAGAATTCTTTATTGGCCAAGGGTGATTAGATACACAAGGAATTTGTCTTGGTGCAAATGCTCTCAATGTACATAAAAGAAAAGCCAGATTAAATTTAGCAACTGTGTGATTAACTTCAGGACTGCAGTGATTCACTTTACAACTGGGGCAAGAAAGGTCATAAAATGGGGCAAATTCACTCAACCGCTGCCTCACTTAGCAACAGAAATGTTGTGCTCAGTTGTGGGGGCAACTTGAGGACAACCTGTTAACTCTGGTTCAACCCTAACCCTAACCCGCTTGCTCACATGTGCAAATGCACATGGCTGACTGCAATTTAGCTCGATGGGATGAAAGTTGACAATCCAAAAATGTCTGAGCATTCATGGAAGGAAATGCTCCACCTTTTCTCAATAATGGTTGTGGACAAGCCTTGAAGCTATGTTTTTTTTTTCCTAAGGACAAATCAGGATGAATAGCCATGCACATGTTCGCCTTATCTCTTTCTCCACACATCCCCCGTTCTTCCACCGTGTCCTTCTCAAACAAGGAATTCCAAGGAGGTTTGTAAACACCAAAGCAGAAATATTTTTTTAAAAAAAGAGCTGGCAACTTTTCAGCAGGTCAAGCTGTTCCCCCCAATCTTCCCTCCCTCCCTCCTGATTTCGTCCCTTTTCTTCTGAGAAGAAAGAAAGAAAGAGACCAGCCTTCAAACATATCCTTGATTTAGCATTATTTGTATAGAAAATAAGACCATTATTCCGGAAGATTATTTTTTAAGATTAGATACCCGTAACCATGACTGTGGTTATGTTTCTCAATTAAGCCCTTGCCAAGGAAAAAATATGATGGGCTAAAGAGAGAGAGATAAAAAAGGGTTTTTTCTCTGCATTTCTCCTTTCAGAGATTTTAAAACTCCTGAGATCGCAGGCATTCTCAGCTCGATAATTATAATTTCCACGTCCCATTTTCAGTCTGTTTTCTTTTCTTTTTGTTAAGAAATGAAAATTTCTAGCCGCTGAAATACAAAGCTTTCTTCCAGCTTTCCAAGGTTTTTTGGCTAACAAATAAAACAGACTCTAAGCTAAATGACACAGAGAGAAAAAAAATACTATCAGGAGGGGGAAAATAAGATCTTTCTTGATGGAAAGGCAGAGTGAAGTTATTTTTAAAACCAAATGGGTTTTAGACACAGCAAGTAGCGAAAAACATCCCTTTAAAAATAAATTAATGCAAAGAGAAAATTGCAATATTTCTAGCAGGGTTTACCCCCCCCCCCAAGCTTCTAAACTTTGGAAAAGTTGAAAGTATGTCAATGCTTCCATGCCTGCCTCTAACCAAGCAATGATGGTTAAAAGTGTGTGAATTGCACTTGCAGTTTTGCCCTTCGCTCCTCCTTGTTTATATCACCTTAAAACGTGCTTGACCCTTTTCACACTCCCGGATGGGTCACTGACCTCCCAGTCTCTTCTCTTTCCTGCAAGGTCTGTTGATCTCCGTCTCCATGACAACCAGCTTCTGGAAGCAGAGGCCTCTGGGAGTCGTAGTTTGCTTCCTTTGCTTCAACCAGTTGCTCCAGCTGGGGAAACAGGGATGTTAAAAAGCAAGAATAGGAAAACAGAATGAGATTTCTGGAGGATTTCTAAGAGAATGGACCAGCACTTCCTCTGCAATAACGATCAATAACATTCACCTGTTTGTTTTGTTTTAATTTTGGATTCTCCCTTCACCCTTTTTCATATCGTCAATAGAAAAATAATTGTTATGGCAAACAAACCAGTATAATAAGTCAATATAGGTGGCTCTCAGCTTACGATCACAATTGTGACAAGAAATTATATTGCTAAGCAGGGTAGTTGTTACGTGAATCTCGCCTGATTCTACAACCTTTTTTGCCACAGTCATTAAGTGAAACACTGCCGTTGTTAAGCAAATCTTCCCCAATCAACTTTACTTATCAGAAGCCCACTGGGAAGGCCGCAAACAGTCATCACAATCACAGATAGTTCTTGACTTACCACCATTCATTTAGTGACTGTTTGAGGTTACGGTGGCACTGAAAAAAGGGGCTGAAGACCATTTTTCACACTTATGACCATTGCAACATCCCCATGGTCACATGATCAAAATTCAGACACTTGGGCAACTGACTTATATTTATGATGGTTTCAGTATTCCGGGGTCACATGATCCCCTTTTGCGTCTTTCTGACAAGCAAAGTCAATGGGGAAGCCATTGATTCACTTGAGGTTGGTAAAATGAAGACCCAGATTGTTGGGGGCAAGAGGCTGACTCTGTAAACCGCTTAGAGAGAGCTGGAAAGCAGTATATAAGTCTAAACGCTATTGCTATTGCCCTGTTTTACAACCTTTCCTGCTAAAGTTGTTAAATGAATCATTGCAGTTAAGTTAGTAACACGGTTGTTAAGCGTCAACTGTCCAGTTGGCGAATCCAGAAAAAAGAAACTCCTGGGACATTATTTTACCAAGAGTACAAACTTTACTGAATAGATCCACAGTGGCACAAGAAGAAGCGAAACCAGCTCTCGATTTCTCTGTGCAAAAGCAAGTCATAGTTCATCATTTCCACTCTTCCCCATGGCCCATCCACAGTCCATTACATCCTCCAATCCTGTTTGTCCATTTTGTTTTGGGAACCAGCTGATCACACTGGGGCATCTGCTCTGGGTGTCCTTGAGGGAGGGGAGTAATGTCTTACAGGAATTACTAACGATGATTGGATGCCATTCCCCCACCCTTGAATTCCAATCCATCCCACCCACCCCTTATTCTTTGTCAAGCTGCCAGCTAAACAGAATATAGGTAAAAGTTCGAGTCAGTCTTGACATGCTAACCCCACCCCTGAAAAAGGGTAGACCTGAAACAACAATAAACATACATACACATCAGTGGTGGGATTCAACATTTTTTTACTACAGGTTCTCTGTTCTCCTACGCAGGGCAACCAAAGGAAACCCAGCCGATCAGCGGTGGGTCTGCATTAAATCTTGCCCTGATTCTCTTCAAGGATCTAAAAAAGGAACGTCTAGATGAGAATAACAGAGTTGGAAGGGACCTTGGAGGTCTTCTAGTCCAACCCCCTGCTTAGGCAGGAAACCCTACACCACTTCAGACAAATGGTTATCCAATATCTTTTTAAAAACTTCCAGTGTTGGAGCATTCTGGAAGATTCTCTCTCGAAGCAGTTTTAAAAAGACAAGAGGAGATCGAGAAGTTGGAAGGTAGCAAGAATTTTCTACACCCTGGGAAGCCAGGCACTCCAAAATACAAGCTAGCTTCTAAACAGTGGCTTATTGCCTTGAATTGCTGTTACTAGGCAGTATTTTCAGAGGCGTTAGAAGGTCTCAATCTGGCAAAAGAATAGTTATCCCAAAAACCTTGGAAGGAGGGGATCAGCTGGTTTGGAGATAATATATATAAGGGCAGAGAAAAGTCCGTGCCATCTCCCATAGATGCTCCTGAGCTGTTAATGGTGAGGAAGAGAGCAGATGAGCAGCCTGTTTGTCCTTACTCTGAACTCCAGCAGGGCTTACTCACAAGTAAGTGAATCATCACATTGCATCTCCTCAAAGGAATATCTTTGGGTTGTGCTAATGTCAAGTCCTTCTTTTCAACTTCCCTTTTTGGGTTTGCTTTTAGTTTTGGTATTGGAATAACTTGTTCTTCTTCAGAGAAATTGACTAAAGAAACTTTAAGGGTTCCTTTTTTTTTCTTTTTTTTCTTTTGAGAATTACACATTTCTTTCCTGGTGTGTGTGTGTGTGTGTGTGTGTGAATTTTTCAAGTGTTCCCTTTGCAGGATTATTCTCTGAATTTCTTCTGAGTAGTGGGAATGACTTGTGGTGGGTAGACGTTGTAAGGATTTCTGAAAGAGAAACCTCTTTTAAATCACTTTTTTAAAACTTTGATGTTAGTGTCCTTCACTAGAGTTCAAGGAAACAACCTCTGTCATTTGAGTTACAGCAATTCTCAAAATTAGACGCTTTGCTCTCCCACTCACCATTTCTGGTTCTCTGTTCTTCAAAATGTTGAGATTAATTGTTTTAAACAGGTGTCTGAACGGCAGATTTTAAATCATATTTCACCCAGATGACGCAATGGGAAAATCCTTGCTTGTTTTGAACCAGTCGGGTGCATTTAAAGGCAAAAGAGTTTTATTAGAGCTATAATCACCTCTCTTCATTCAACGAAAATATTTTGAAGATGAAACAATTGATTGAAAATACTTTTATCTACTGCTAGATAGAATAATTAATGCATTTTAAATTAAGACTGGGGAAGGATTTTTTTCCAGGTTTAAGTAATTGTAGACCGCACGTGTTGAAAATTCTGATCTTCTGAGTTTTAAAATATCTCAATGGCTGTCATTAGAGCAATATATTTCTTTATATTTTTTGAGAGGGTTATTTGTTGCTTTTAATCGTGTATGCCTCTCTGAATCACATATTGAGTGGGTAGCTGAATAAGTTGAATTAATACCAAATAATTAATAAACTAACTGCTGGCTTGAAAATGTCTGTGGCATAGAAGGTATTTTAAGATGAGATATATTGACAATTCAGACAACAGTCAGTTTGTCTTCTGTGCTATTTGTTAATGTGGCTTGCCCTAATGGAATACAAGGAGCCACAAACTAATTTAGTAAAACTAGCCATGAAGTTAGTTTATC